CTAAGCCTTGCTAGAATGGTCGCACGCGATAACACTGGCGAGATGAGCCCTCCTGCACCCCACCCACCCGGGCGAACAAAGAATGAGAGGCCCTGTTTGTTCTTCAACATTGGCTGCTATCGATCGCAGTTCGCGTGGCGTCATAGGAAACGCACGACGGGATCGCATGAAGACACGAAGGAACGAGTCGGCATTTGACGGCATTCGGCAGCGAGCAGTGCTCGGGCGGTGCTGAAGGCTAAGCGCAGAAGATCCTCTAGGACATTCTGCTAAAAGCGGCTCGAGGCACGCCTGCCGCTGGCGGTAGCACGCACGCACGCCACCGCACGCACGACGCGGATGCAGTGTTCAGCGAAAGGCAATCGTGTACAAATATCACGAGATGATGGGGGGATTTTTCAGCAAAAGCTATTCGTGACGCGCGCACTGCCAATAGGCGAAAGTAAACGCGCGGTGTCCGGGTCTACCTAGGGGCTTTATCCGCAGCCGCCGCTGCGAACACTTTGTCTATGACAAGTACCGGGTGATAATGTGTAATGCTGCGGGGCAAATATTTCTTGCGATGGCGGGCGCAGCGCCTTCAATGCAATCCAATATTGAAAGGTATATATAGATATGAGGATATATGATAGATAGATCTTGATAAGAATTATGTGTATAGATAATAATATATAGTAGACTAAGTTAGATATATATATATTGCGCCCGCACAGCATGGGCGCCGGTCATCTTTTGTTCACGTGTTGAAAAATGGTCTGAAATCGCTATAAGTGCACTAGAAGACGGCGGACGAACGATCGAACGGGTTTAATGTTCCGCTGTACTATACGCTCCACGCGCCGTTCACGGCGTCTGGCAAACAGAGAAAAAACAGTGCAGAGAGAGATGCTCTGAAAGGTTTCGCCCTCTGGGTAGGGATTCCTTACATACGCAGGCTGCGTGCACCGGCTGCCACACACCCCTACGAGAAATTGGAATACCCCTGCGCTGCGTCGTATCGATCTCCATGGCAGCAGCGCAGCTCCGAAATCCCATCTCCCCTAGTGACTGTATTTACGTAGGTACTTACATATTATAATTTCGCAGCAATCTCTCTCTCTCTCTCTCTCTCTCTCCATCTGCAGAGAGTGAACGCATACAGGAACATCGGCAGCAAACGGCTGACGCTAAGGCATTTTTTAATCGAGAAATCAACATACGAAATCGCAAGCATGATGTGAGAACGTGAACGATCGCTGTCTGAGTAAAGAAGCCCGAAGGATAACTCGAACCTGTGAAAGGCGCCGGTAACGCGATGCAACGTGTATAACAGCAGCACACTGAAACCAACATGGCGAAGTTAGACGAAACATCTGGTAAGTTGCGATCAGCACTGCTTGATATTATATCGTCGGGAAACTGCATCGTACGATCGAGGAAGAAAATTTCAACGTAACTATTGCTGTTACATGTTCGTATTGTATGGCACCTGTATTTTACTCATCGTGTTTGTTATTACGTAGGTGTTGCATAGGTAAAGGGGACAGCTGTTGTAGTGTGTAACATATGGTCAGCAATATAAAACAACATCGCAACAGGAAAGGACACCGGGGTGTAATCATGATAATCAGGGTAATTCGGCGTTATGCTTGTCGTGAGTTCGTCGCGTTAAAATGTTATGACGTGTATAATTACAAGCGATCCAGCGAATTTCAACTCGTTTTTCTAACATGATGCTCTACGATCTTCGTTTACTCGGGATATATCGGCTAGTTAATATTAAATTTCTTTATTTAAATCGATTAAGGGTTAATACTTTTTTAAATGGCACGTGGGTAATAATTTATTGCACAACATGCAGGATCTAGGCATTTTTACACGATTTCTCTATGTCTAGTAGACGTGTGTGCCTGTGAATCATAGAAATTGTTAACTAAAATGTAGAATGTCACTGGAATTTTGTAGAATTACACTCTTAAACCAACTGGACAAATGTATTAGCTATAGGGCGAGTATTGATTATT